CTCACATATTTCACACACATAGCCAGGAGGGACCAGTCCTTGGAGAAGGACATAATACTTGGAAGGGTGGATGGTCAGCCCAGGAGAGAAAGACCCAGATGAGATTAATTGATTCAGTGACTGGGATAATAGGATAAGGTGTGTTGGAGACAATCATTGGCTTAAGATAGGACAGGGTTCAGAGCTATTATACATAGGGTCGCTGTGAGTTGCAGGTGATTTTATGACACATAACGACAACAACATATGAAACTTTTTCTAAGAAGGAAGATTTGGGAAACAAAGTTCTTTTAAACAGAAATTCCCAGGGAAAGATGAAGTATTTGAAAAGAAATGTATTAGAATTTTCCAGAACCAAAGAAAGATATGGCTCCACAGATATTGGAGTAAACCGGAAAAGAAGACCAATAATCCAGGCACAGGGAATAGACCAGTGCTGTAGTCTGGAGTATGCAGGGAAGAAGGCTCTGAGGAAATTCTCTAGGGGTAAAAAATACAAGTAATTTTTATCTGATATATTTGATTTTGAGGTGATTGTTGTTGTTGTTGTTATGTGTCATTGAGTGGAGTATGACTCATAGTAACCTTATGAGTAAAAGATCTCAACCCTTTTCTATCCTCTGGTATCCTCACACTTCCTAACACACTAAAGCCCATTGCAAGAGTCACCGAGTCAATCCACGTGGTTGAAGGTCTTCCTCTCCTTCACTGACTCTCTACCCTTCTATCAATATCATGTTCCTCTCCAAGGAATAGCCCCTCCTAGCAACATGCCTCCAAAAAGCCCTCCGGCTGCACTCTCTCCAAGACATGTGTGTTCGTTCTCTTGGCCATCCATGGAATGTTCACTGCTCTTCTCCAACACCACAGCTCAAAGGTGTCAATTCATCTTCTGTCATCCTTCTTCATTGTCCAGCTCTCAGACGCATAGCAAGTGATTGGAAAGACTATGGCCTGAATCAGACACACTGTAGTCCTCAAACTGACATCATTATTCCTCAGTAATTTGTTGAGGTTCCTAAATGCATATTTTCCCAGTGCAATACATCTCCTTATTTCCTTATCGCTGGTACCAAGGGTGTTTATTGTGGATCCAAGCAAAATGAAGCCGTTGACAGTTTCAGTCTCCTCTCCATCCATCACGATGTTGCCTATTGGTTCAGTGGTCAGAATCTTTGTTTTCTTGACAATGAGATACAGTCTATACTGAAAGCTGTATTCCTTGATCTTCTGCAACAGGTGTTTCAAGTCCTCCTCACTTTCAGAAGGCAAAGTTGTGTCATCTGCATAACGCAGGTTATTGATGAGTCTCCCTATAATCCTTATGCTGCATTCCTCTTCGTAGAGCCCAGCTTCTTGAATAATTTGCTCAGCATACAGATTGAGTAGGTTTGGAGAGAGAATACAGCCCTGTAGCACTTCCTTCTCAATTTTAAGCCATGCAGTGCTGCTCTCCTGCTGTTCTGTTCTAACAACAGCCTCCAGGTATAGGTCCTGCATGAACACAATTAAGTGTTCTCGGACTCCCATTCTTCTCAATGTCAGCCACAGTTATGATGCACACAGTCAAATGCCTATGCACAGACAGTAAAAGACAAGTAGACGTTCTTCTGATTGCTTAAACAAGAGGTTTCCAGCCCACAGCTGATTGCTAACAAAATCATAATGGACAGTCAGCTTATATTTGATTGTTAAAAAATAAAAAACACCCAAGCAGTTTACATCCAACTTTCAAGTAAATCAAAACAACTTACCCTTCAGAATCCAACTGCTCCAAGCTAGAGACTCAAGCAGGACCCAACCAGCTTGTAAGTACAAAGCCCTACCCACCAGGTCCTGATTGCTGAAACAAGAGGCTTCCAGCCCATAGCTGATTGTTAACAAAATCACAATGGCAAATTTGATTGTGAAGAAGATATATTAAATAGGGATTTCCTTATTTATTTACTTACTTGTTTATTTGTAGTTTTGTTTTTTTTTTTGTAGTTTTGAATAAACAGACACATAGAAACTTGGGAAGACTGAGAAGGTGGGAATATAATTCACAGTATAAATCAGTGTCAATCCATCTCATCCAAAGTCTTCCTCTCTTCGCTGTCCCTCCACCCTTCCAAGCATGATGTCCTTCTCCAAGGAGTCGTCCCTCTGGTGACATATCCAAAGTATGTGAGATGGAGCTTTAAAATCCTTGCCTCCAATGAGCAAACCGGCTTGAGCTTCTCAAGGACAGATCTATTTGTTCTCTTGACAGTTCATGGGATGTTCAGTACTCTTCTCCAGCACCACAACTCAAAGGTGTCGATTCTTCTTTTGTCATCCTTAGTCATTGTCCACTCCCTGATGCATAGCAAGTAATTGCAAAGACCATGGCCTGGATTAGGTGCACCTTAGTGTCTAGACTGACATAATTGCTCTTTAGAACTCTGGAAATCCTTGCCTGTGGATTTTTCGCAGTGGAACTCATCTTTTGGTTTCCTGACTGCTGGTGCCATGAGTGTTGATCGTGGATGCAAGCAAGATTAAATCATCAACAACTTCAATCCTTTCTCCATCTATCATTATACTACCTATTGGCCTGGTGGTAAGGATCTTTGTTTTCTTGATATTGATATGCAATCCATAATGAAAGCTGCAGTTTTTTACCTTCTGCAGCAAACACTTCAAGTCCTCCTCAGTTTTAGTGAGCAAAGTTGTGTCATCTGCATAACACAGTTTGTTGATGAGTCTTCCTCCAATCCTGATGCTATATTCTTCTTCATAAAGTACAGCCTCTCGAATGAGCTGTTCCACATATAGATTTAAAAAACATAGGCACAGAGTACATTCCTGGTTGTTAATGGTCCATTACGGAGTCAGCACCTGACCTGGTATTCACAGCTGATACTGAGTTTTTCCTACAATTCTTTACACAAATGTAATCAATGTGATTCTTGTGTAGTCCATCAGGTGAGGTTCATGTGTATAGACTTTGGATTGGCATGGGCCACTATGAATCAGACAATCATATGATCAGCTGTGCTAGGAATGAAAAAGAAAGGAAAAATGAAGTTGCATTCATCGTAAAAAAGACCACTTATAGATTCATCCTGAAGTACAATGCAGTGAGAAAGTTAATAAGTGAGCTTAAATTTTAAAAATTAAGAAATGGAAGTATGGATATAATCTTTCAAAATACAGAGGTGAAATATCTGAAGACTAGAAATTGTGTGACTCTCAGATTTTTTTAGAATTTAGGAGGCTGTTAGGATTAGGATAAACAATAATTGTTTTGGTTTTCCAGCATCATTTGTTGAGGAGGTTGTCATTTCCTCGTTTCATTGGTTTTGTTTCCTTGTTGAATACCAGTTGGCCATAAGTAGATAGGTGAATTTTTGGGCTCTCAGTTCTGTTTCATTAGTTCCATTAGGTGCCTGTCATCATACATTACCATCCTGTTTTAGTTATTACATCTGTGTTGAAGCTGAAACAGGATCCACATCTCACACCGTACACAAAAATCAACTCAAGGTGGATCAAAGATCTGGAAATAAAGTTCTGGAAATAAAGTAAAAAAGCATAAAAATCATAAGAGGAAAAAAATAGGACCAAACTTAGAAGACCTAGCCTATGGCTTAGTGGTAGGGAATTGCACGGTCAATGCAAATATGTGATTGGAATCCACCAGTTTCTCTGTGGGAGAAGGATAGGAAGTCTCCTCTGGTGTGAAAACCCACAAGAGAGTCAGCTATGGATTGGTTCAGACTCAGTAGTACCCAACAACAATTTGATTTGGTCCTTCAGTGGCAGCTACTTGATATCATTAATGTCTTTCATAAAAACATCACGTCAAGAACTCATACTACCACCATGTTTTTCCTTTCTAGGACTGAGAATTGGAGTTTCCTGAAAGACTATGATTCAATGGTAAAAGACAAAACATATTTTGGGAAGAAATACTTACATTTTTAATATTTAGCCATTCTTTCCAGCATTTGTCTATGTCAGTTGAGAACATAGTCCTGTGCTAGATGCTAAGGTATACAGAGATGAATAAAATGCAGCCTCGTTTCAAGAAACTCAGGCGCTCGTGCAAAAAAAAAAAATTAATATAGAGTATGTAGAAAGTCTTTTTCTCATTGCTTCTTGATTCTATTAAGAGGAATGAACCAGAAATTACAAGTATCTGCTATTGAAATTGTCCCCCACACAAGGATATCTGCTAATATACAGATGTGTGTGTGTGTAAGTGCCCAATACAGAGAATGAGTTTGAGTAACAGTAGTTTGTGAACTAATTCCTTGCCACTGAAACATCAAGGAAGCTCTGGTGGCTTAGTGGTAAAGAATTTTGCTGCCAACTCAAAGGTCTATGATTTGAATCCACCAGCTGCTCTGCAGGAGGAAGATAGGCAATCTCCTCCCACATCATTTACTGTCTCTAAAAACCCACTGGAGGATCAGCTATGGATCTGTTAGTTCCAACTCAATAGTACACAAGAAAGATAACAGTATCATCAGAGAAGCTCTGGTGGCCTAGTTCACAGGGAGCTGTGCTGATATCCCAAAGGACACACTTCTCTGGCAGTTCAAATCCACCAGTTTCTCCTTGAGAGAAGATGAGCAATCTCCTCCCATGCAATGTTTGTTATTGTGTACTATCAAGTTGGAACCTACCCATAGCTGACCTTCCAGTGGGTTTTCAGAGGCAGTAAATATAGCACAGAAGAAGGTTTTTGATCCTCCTACAGAGCAGCTGGTGGATTCGAACCACATGTCTTTGGGATTGCAGCAGTTTCTTACAACTAACCCACCAGAGCTTCCTAGAAAATGCTGGAGGGTCAGCTCTGAATCAGTTCTGACACAACAGCAATGAGTCGAGAATATCATCCACTTCACCCCACACTACATGTTGCCACCAATCATCTGCCTAAACTGCCAAGTTAGCCAAAGTCAACTACCTAAAATCCTTAAATAAAAAGCTCTTTGGATAAAAGCTGAATATTTTCAACATGGCTTACAATGCTTCCTGTGATCTGACTCAGCCTACTTCTCCAGCTTCTTTGTTCACCTCTCACTCCCACTGATCAATGTTCTTTCATTTGTCCATGCTCAGCTTGAAATGCCTTCCTCTTCTGTCTGATGAATTCCTATTCATCCTTAAGACCATCTCCAAGTGCATCCTCCCGTGAGAAATCTCACCTTCCCAGGCAGGTCTGATCATATTATAACTTTGTTTGATTCCCCAGTATCATCTATCTTCTCTTGTAACATATACCTAAAATGACTCAGTGTTTGATTTCACTACATTATGAGGTCCTTAGGAGAAAGGAAAATGGTGGAAACATCACTATGCTCTGTCCCCATCATTTAGTATAATAGCTAGCACTCTGTTCATGTTGAATGAATGAATGAGAGTGAACCGAGTTGTGCAAAGAATGATCTAAAACCAATCTAGAAAATTGTTGTTGTTGTTATGCGGCATTGAGTTGCCCATGACAGGTAGCGACTCTATGTACAGCTGCTCTGAACCCTGCCCTGAGTTAAACGCACTAATTCTGACACACCAACACCCATTGCCTCAGTTACAATATCAGTCCGTATCATCTAGGTCTTCCTCTCCTGCACTGTAAGTCCACCCTTTCAAGCATGATGTCCTTCTCCAAGGATTGGTCTCCCTTGGCCACATGCCCAGAGTATGTGAGACAGCGCTTCAAAATCCTAGCCTCCAAGAAGAAACTTGTTTTCACCCTCTCTAAGACAAACCTCTTTGCTTTCTTGGCAGTCCAAGACACGTTCAAGACTCTTCTCGAGCACCACAATTGAAAGGCTCAATTCTTCTTCTATCATCTTTAGTCACTGTCCAGCTCTCTGACGCATAACAAGTAATTGTGAAGACCATGGCCTGGATTAGGCGCACCTTAGTCTTTAGAGTGACATCCTTGCTTTTCAGTACTCTGGAGAGGCCCCTGACAACAGGCTTTCCCAGTGCAATTTGTCTTTTGATTTCCAGACTGCTGGTGCTAAGAGAGAAAATAGATGTTGCAAAAAGTCCAAAGAGCTTTAATGTCTGCCTTGCTGGACTTGCTGGGCTTCCTAGGGTAGGAAGTATAGTTCCTGAAGCCTGAAATTCTATACTAAGCACTTTCCAGCCTTCAGCTGGACTTGTGTTCTAGCAACATGACTACTGACACCCAACATCTCACCCAAACAATAGTGCCCTTTCAACTTGGGCTTTCCCAGGTGAACGCTGGGTTCTAATTACTTGACCATGGCCATGTCACATGACCCAGGGTATATAAAGTAAATAAGGGCAGACACAGCTGAGGATTTCTTTCCACTGATCAGATTATTATTGCATACACGTTCACACATCTCTCAGTATTAAGAGTTGTAACTTGAACTCAATTAAGTGTTGTTGCCTAGATACATCTACCACACATCAAAAGGCATGTGCACTAATACTCAGAGCAGTGCTATGCAAATTGTCAAAACTGGTGTGAAGCATAACTAGTGAAATGTTTGTGCAATGCATTCAGCATCTGGCAATGAGAGTGAGTGAACTGTGAAACTTACAAACCTACCTCTGAGAGAGAGAAGCCAGACAGCATGTGACTCCACTCACAGAAACTTCACCACCAGGCAAGGCTAATCCGTGTGTAAGAGGTCAAGCTGAGGTGGCTGCGGGGGTGTGGAGGTCTCCAGGTGGCTGAGTGTATTCTATTTCTTGATCCAGGTGGTGGTTACACAGCATACTCGCTTTATAAAAATTTATTGAGGCGTACAGTAGTGATTTGAGAACTTTTCTGCATGTATGCTATACTGCAAGTAAAATATTACTAACAGAGAAAAACAAGACAAATTTAGCACATTCTTCCCACCTGTGAAGGCTTTTGAAGGCCTTCAGCGGGCAATATGGCCACTGACACCCAACATCTCACCCACACAATAGTGCTGTCCTGTTTAGGTCTTAGGTCCTGGGGACAGATGAAAGATTAAGACAGGGTGCCTTAGGGGGCCACACAGCCTTTGGGTGAGGGCAATGGATAACTGAATCATTAGAGGTCACACGTTGTTGTTGTTAATTGCCTTCAAGTCGGATCAGGACTCATAGCTACCCTATGAACAAAAGGCCTGAAGCCCCTCTACTACTATCAACACTTATCAAAGTTCATAGATATAGTAAAGGTCAAGGTTAAATTCTAGAGAACAGGAGCCCCAGAGATGAGAAGGAGTAATTGTAATTAAGGACTAGGGATTGTGACATTCATCTAGGGGGTCACAGACCAGCATTAGGTTTGAAGCCTCAGGACACCATGTCACACAAAGAGGAAGTCTCTCTGCTCTGTGTCCTTGACTCCTGCTGGGCCCTCGGGTGGCATACAGGGACTCTTCTGTTTTCCATATGACATGTGACCAGAACTGTCCTCCTCAGGGTAATAAGAAGGAGCACCCGATGTTGCCGGAGTACGTGCCTCTCTTCTCAGACACGGTCCCCAACTCCATGAACCAGGTTGTGGGCAGCAGAATGGACACACCTCTGGGGAAAATGCTCATAAACATGGACTACTTCTTTGTGGAAGGCGTTCGGAAGAAGAAGCTTGAAGAGGAGCTGCAGCCCATCTAGGACCTGAGGTGGGTGTGGAAGGCCCTGAGATGACTTAGTCCACGGCCTGGCCCAAGGAAAACACTGCATGTGGGCTGGCACTTTCGTCATTTCTCAGCTACCCACTAGCCTTCCAAGAGGCTTCACTGGCTCCTTATTACATATGAAGAGTCACTTACTCAGGGCCACGTAATCTATAACGGTGGAAATTCAAGTCTATCCTGCTCCTTATAGGCAAAGATAGTGAAACTTCCTCTCACAAATGTTGGGCATTTTGTCAGGAAGAGCTATTTTCCTGGAAACAGATATCACTCTAGGAAAGAGATGAGCATCAATGGGATGGATCGACCAGTAACTGTAACAATGAGCTCAAGTACATCAGAGATGAAGAGGATGGCGCAGCATAGGACAGGGTTCAGGTCTATTGTGTGTAAGGTCACTATGAGCCACACTCAACTTGATAGCACCTGAAAACAGCAAGTTCTGAAGGCTGGAAGTTTAAAAGTTTAAAGTTCGCTCAATTGACTCTTGCTGGGCTAGATATCAAGGTCTCAGTTGGGCTGCATTCTATTACTTGTGTCTCCTTTCCTACAAGAGACAGATTCTATCCTACCTCCCTTGTTCTTTATAAGGACCCTTGTGAGCACCCTTTATTAGGGAGCTCTGATGGCCTAATGGGTAAGGAGTTGCATTAACAACCCTAAAGTAAGTGGTTTGAATCCAACAACTGCTGTGAGAGAATGATGGGCAATCTCCTCCATGTGATGTCCAGGCTTTGAAAACCTGCTGAAGGGTTAGAGGGGGCAGTGGAGCTGGCTCCCCTCACCTACTTTGGGCTGCGACCGGAGTGAGATGCAAATGTTTGCTGTGTTGGGGACAAAAAAAAAAAACAAAAAACAAAAAAAAAAACACCAAAAACAAGCACAACAATGCACAAATGCAAACTTATTTTCTCATTATCTTCTCACCATGACTCAAGGAGGTAAAGGGGAGCAAATACTTTATTTATTTCACATGAGCTTAAAAGGGAGGGTGAGGTTTAAAAAGAAACCTCAGAGTTCTCAAGGCAAGTAAGAAGTCCAGCCATGCACTGAGCCCAGGTCTTTGAGTTTAAATGCCAGTGTCTTTCTGCACAATAGCAGTCACAGCCTCCTGAAGATGAAGGAAAATAGGAGAAGCTGAAAAGACTACTTGATCTTTGACATCTACTTGGGCTTCATTTGGTTGTACAGCTGATATTAAATCTCACCATCATTTATATCAATATCAATATAAATAATATAACTATTAATATAAATCTAAATAATAGAACTAGAAATATAAATCTATTTCATCCTCTCAGCAACCTCACAAGATAGGAGGTATTGTCATTTCTGATAGAGGAAGAAATTGAAGCACAGAGAGATTAAGTATCTTCCCCAGTGTCTCACAGCTTGTCAGTGATGGAGCCAGGCTGAACCTCAGCACTTTGTTCAGCTCTAGAGTCTATAGGGAGCTTTGGTGGCCTAGTGGATTGAGAGTTGAGAGGCCACAGCAAAGATAGACAATTCGAATCCACCAACTGTTTTCATGGAAGAAATATAGACAGTCTCCTTCCATGCAATGTATAGCCTCCAAGAACTCACTGGAGGGTCAGCACTGAGTCAATTCTGAATCAACAGCAATGAGTTAATTTGTTGTATCCTGTCTATATGCTTAAGCCCACAACTACATGTTCTGTTATAGTTATGTACTGCTGTGTTGACTGCTACTTATAGTGACTCTATGAACAACTCCTCTGAACCTTGCTCTTATCCTGTGCCATCCTCACCAGCTCATTGTTACAAGCCGGTGACACTCCATCTCAGACTCCCTTAACAGCTGATAAGTTGACTTGCAAATTTTGTACATTAAAGAATCCTTGAGGAAACTGGAATTGATTTTCCTAGAGTCCAGAATCCTCCTTTCCCAAGAAAAGCTCATCCATGTTCTCAGAAGCTACACAGGACACAGTATTTCCCCACAATATAAACACCATCCTCTTCATGGTCACATCCTTGGCCAACACAACCCCAGACATGAGAAGGTGATGAGACCAACCAGGCCTGATTTTGGCAACAGGTGAGAGACGTGGAGAGCACAGCAGGGCACAGCCATTTGTGTTTCAATCCAGAGGAGTTTGAGGTAAAATCTGGGCCCCCCATGTCTGGGATCAAATGTCGGGGAAAGTCAGACCCAGTAAAATCAGCCCATCATAGCAGCCTCACTTGAAAGTCAAGTGCATGCTTTCTGCAATGAGTGTTGTTATTATTGTGTACCATCAAATTAGAACATACAGCTGACCTGCCGGTGGATTATCAGAGGCAGTAAATTACACGGGAAGAGATCGCCCATCTCTCTCCTACAGAGTAGCTGGTAGATTTGAACCACATCCTTTTGATTTAGTAGCACAGTTTCTTACCACTAAGCCACTCGAGCTCCCTCTGGGATAGGTGGATGGATACAAAGGTAGTTTCTGGTGGCTCTGTGGGAACGGATGTGTGTGTGCTTCTGTTAGGAACTTGTTCTTGTCTTTAAGGCCAGAAAAGGTAGGGAAACCAAAACTTAAACCCAAAAGAGTTATATCCATTTGTGGAGAAAATGAAAGAAAAAAAGTCTTCTGGGAACTCCAGGAGATAAGTTAAAGTTGGATGCAGATGGCAGAGTCTGTGCAGGCAGGCAGGCAGGAGGATAGGAAGACCTAGAGACCAGAGCCAAGTCGATCATGTCCTATTAATGAACTGCTTACAGACAAGCAAACGCTTTTCATACAGACTCTATGCTTCACATATTTCACAGGGAGTATCTCTTGTGTTCCCCTTTTAGGAGATGAGGAAACTAACTCAAAAGTTTCATCCAAATTCAAAATTCGATCCAGATCACACAGCTAGTAATACTGACAGGGCTCTTCAGAGCGCTGCATCCCTGTGAATACCCTGGCTTGCTGGGGCTTTCACAGGCTACAGGCATCCACTAGGGTAAAGCCATAAAATAACCCAGCACATTGGTTTTTTCATCACAGGCAGGCTTGACTCCAGACGTTAGCCTGGGCCCAGCTAAACTCCATGTGTCTCTCATCTTCCTGGACCAACAGCTACTTGGGTGTGTCTTCGTCTCCTGGCCCATCACCAAAGCATAAGCTCCAAGCTAAAGTACGCTGGCACATTGAAGACTTTTGAAAAAAAATCACACATGCTGATATTGTGTTCACCAAAATTAGTCACATGGGCAAACACAGCCTTATTTGGCTAAAAAAAAAAAATTTCCTCCACAGCAGAAGGGGTCAAAGGATAAATGCTTGCTGAGTCATAATCCAAGCTATCATACAGAGGCTCTGACCAATTCCACAAATAGCTTCGGGCGTGTTTATCTGTGCAAATGCTTCAAACAAATACGTAAAGTTTAGACTTTACTTCTGAGTGCAGATCAACCGCAAGGACTCTATCTGATCCAGACTTCTTACATGCCCTTCTAGAAACAGGGTCCTACTTCTGTTTTACGGCCCCAGCATGACTTTGCCCATGTCTGAGCCTGGACCTGCCAGAATGCATTCACCATCTTCTTTTCACAAGGAAGGTTGGCTGCAACTCGTGTACTAGATGCAATAGTTGTGCCTGTGGTATTCACAGAGTTCAGAGGAAAACCCCCAGGGCTGAGCAGCTCACAGAAGGGAGTCCTTCTGCAAAAAGCGGCAATCTTGAGGAAAGTGCAGAAAAGATGGGTAGAGGGAGGCCAGGTAGAGGAGACAGAGCCAAGAAAGACTCAAAGGCAAGGAAGGAGGATCACTCAGGCACAGAGCCCTTTGGCAGAACCTCTTTTTTTATATATATAGTTTAATATATTTTAATAGCAAACTTACAGAACAGCACAGAAGCCAAACAACAATAAAAATATGTACTTGCATGTAGGACAGCTCAGAAAAGTATAGTGAGTGGATGGAATCTACTGTTTCATAAAAACGCTGCAAACATTGTTTAGTTGCCATCAATGAGAAATTTACTTGTTTTAAAAAATTCAAATGCTGACGTTATCTAGAAAATTTAACAGGGTTATATATAAACAGAACATTTTACTTTTACTTGCAATTATGCTTTATGTCCCTACATTTATATTCAAAATTCATGCACAAATGAAAATGAAAAACCTGCCAATAACTGGTTCCTGCCCCCTAATTCTCCATTCACCATCAAATACTTAGGTACCATTTGACCTCTTTGTTCTTGGTGGTGTTATGTGCTGTCAAGTCGCCTGTGACTCATAGTGACCCTATGTACAACAACCCTAAACCCTACTTTTGTGCCAATCTCACTATCTCCGACACACCGCCTCATAGAGGGTCTTCCTCTCCTGCGCTATCCCTCCACCCTCCCAAGCATGACATCCCTCTCTAAGGACTGGTCCCTCCTTGCAACATGTCCAAAGTATGTCAGATGAAGCTTCAGAATCCTTGCCTCCAAGGAGCAGCCTGGTTTAATACTCTCCAGGAGAAACCTGTTCGTTCTCTTAACAGTCCATGGTATATTCAATACTCTTCTCCAGCACCACAGCTCAAAGGCATCAGTTCTCCTTCTATCATCCCTAGTCACTGTCCAGCTCTCTAAAGCATAGCAAGTGATTGCAAAGTTCATGGCTTGTATCAGGCACACCTTAGTCTCCAGACTGACATCGTGGCTCTTCAGTACTTGGGAGAAGTCTCTGACAGCAGACTTTCCCATCACAATACATCTTTTAATTTCCTAGCCAAGCAAATTGAAGCTGTCAACAATCTCAGTGTCTTCACCATCTATCATGATGCTGCCAATCAGCCCAGTGGTTAAAATCTTCATTTTCTTTATATTGAGCTTCAATCATATTGAAGGCTGCAGTCCCTGACTTTCTGCAGCAAGTGCTTCAGGTCCTCCTCAGTTTCAGCAAGCAGGGTTGTGTCATCTTCATAACGCAGATTGTTGATTAGTCTTCCTCCAATCCTGACCCCACATTTCTCCTCATAGAGCCCAGCCTCC